TTTACCTATGTAGCGCTTGTATTTCTGCCTGGGTCCCCCCTGTTTTTGCCCCGCAGCCAGGCACACATTATTTTCTAAAGCCAGTTCACATGCACTTTCATCTGTTGTCTTCAATGACCAGTTTAGGGAATTTTGTTTTTTTTGAATTTTTATTGCAGAGTTTAGGATAGGGATGGGGAATTTAGTAGGATACTCCAGAATTAGAACTAATTACAGTTGAGGACTCTATCTGATCTTTGGATGAGCTTCAGGTGAAGTCCTGACTGAAGCAGGTAACTTCAGTAGCAGCAGCATTAATAGTAACTTCAGGTTACAGCAAAGTCCCCTGAAGTAAAGAGTAAATGGACAGTGCTCTTCAGAACACTAGCTGGTGTTCCCTTTTCTTAGACCCCCACTGACTATAAAGCACAAGAGGGGTAGTACCAAGATCTCTGAATGTCTGCACTCAGGAGGCCCAAGGACAGAATGGTAGCCTCCTTCCAATCTTCAAACGACACCCTCCAGTGATACCAGACAGATCTTTGGCAGACAGCTCCCCTCAGTCAGCATACAAAAGAACCAGTGGTTGCCCTCTCTCCAACTTCAGGCCCTTAGGTCGCCCACCTGAGGCCATATGGCAGCAGTTGCCAGGCGAGGCAAGCATGCCTCCAGCTTGGTTTGGTGCAATCCTCTCCAGGAAAGACCCTGAGCCCATGTGCTCACAGAACATAAATACCAGCTCCTAGCATGCAGTGGGCCCACAATCCCCTGTAATTGGCCAGGGCTGTATTCATATTCATGCTTTTCATTTGCCTAGCTCCTGCCTATGTTCCGGAAGGCTCTAGTGCAGGGGTGCAAAACTTGTCACTCAGCTGCATTTGTGATGGCACGCGAGGGAAGCCTGGGACACCCACCTCCCACATCAGCAAAGCTGTCTGGTGGTTGCAGCTGCTTTCCTGCCCACCTCACTCTGCTTGCCTGAATGACACTGAAGCAGTGGCATCCCAAGGCAGGTGCAGGGGGTGCGACCCACACGGGGTGACACCAACTGCACGGGGTGACACCGGACCCGCTCCAAGAAAAGGTAAGTTGTAAAGAAAGCCGATGATCCCCGCAGGATGGATTGGATCCAATCCATCCTGCGGGGATCATTGGCTTTCTTTACAACTTTCTTTACAATTTACCTTTTCTTTGAGTGGGTCCGGTGTCACCCCGTGCGGTCAGTGTCACCCTGTCACCCAGTGCGGGCTGCACCCCCCGCACCTGCCTCGGAACACCACTGCTTCGGTGTCACCCAGTGCGGGCCGCACCCCCCGCACCTGCCTCGGGACGCCACTGCGGGGATCATCGGCATGCAACCTATACGGGGTGACACTGGACCCGCTCCAAGAAAAGGCAAGGTGATGATCCCCGCAGGATGGACCGGATCTGTGGATTGAGCAAAATGGATCAGAGTCCGATCCATTATACCCAGTCCCCATATCCGATCCATTCTGCGGGGATCGTCGGAGGGGGTGTCACCAAGTGTCACCGCACCGGGTGACACCAACCCTAGGGACGCCTCTGCACTTATGCAGTGTTGAGTGGTGAGCGCAGCCCGATCCCATCCTTCTATGGAAGCAGAGTCTGCACGGGTCATTAAGCTCCTCCTCCCATCCTCGGAGTGCACTTATCCTCTTCAATGGACATGTAGTGGAGCTGCTCCGTCCCACATTGTAAAACAATTTGGTGTCAGCTGTGTGTAAACACATCCTCAATCTGCACAGTGTGACTGTAGCTGGCTGTTGTAGTTCTCAGATCAGAAACGCAGCACAGCTACAACAGCCAGTTACAGTCACACTGTGCAGATCGAGGATATGTTTGTAAAACAATCTGATCTCAGCTGTGTGAAGAGTGGGAAGGAGCAGCTCTGTTAAGTGCCCTGCCACAAGTAACCCCATCCTCTGACATGCTAACCCTGTCCTATGACCCTCTGACCCCTGTCCTATGACCCTCTGACTCTTGTCTAACCTGCAGACCCTGTTCTGTGCCCTGCGGACCCCATCCTATGCCCTAGTGACCCCTGTCCTCTACCCTGCGGACCCCATCCTGTGCACTGTAGACCCCATCCTTTGCCCTACCGACCCCTGTCCTCTACCCTGTAGACCCTGTCCTATGCCCTGCTGACCACATCTGATACCATACTGACCTCATCCTTTGCCCTGCTGACCCCATCCTATGCCTTGCTAACCCCTGTCCTCTGCCCTGCAGACCCCATCATATGCCCTGATGACCCCATCCTATGTCATACTGACCCTTGTCCTCTACCCTGAAAACCCTGTCCTGTGCACTGTAGACCACATCCTTTACCCTGCTGACCCCATCCTATACCTTGCTAACCCCTGTCCTCTGCCCTGCGGTCCCCGTCCTATGCCCTGCTGGCCTCAGGTGATCTGAGGGGTGAAGGTACAGGAATTGGGGTGATCTGAGGGGTGAAGGTGCAGGAATTTCGATGATCTGAGGGATGAAGGTGTGGGAATTTGGATGATCTCAGGGGTGAAGGTGTGGGAATTTGGATGACCTGAGGGTTGAAGGTGCAGGAATTTGGATGATCTGAGGGGTGAAGGTGCGGGAATTTGGATGATCTGAGGGGTGAAGGTGCGGGAATTTGGATGATCTGAGGGGTGAAGGTGCGGGAATTTGGATGATCTGAGGGGTGAAGGTGCGGGAATTTGGATGATCTGAGGGGTGAAGGTGCGGGAATTTGGATGATCTGAGGGGTGAAGGTGCGGGAATTTGGATGATCTGAGGGGTGAAGGTGCGGGAATTTGGATGATCTGAGGGGTGAAGGTGTGGGAATTTGAACGATCTGAGGGGTGAAGGTGTGGGAATTTGAACGATCTGAGGGGTGAAGGTGCAGGAATTTGAAAGATCTGAAGGGTGAAGGTGCAGGAATTGGGGTGATCTGAAGGGTGAAGGTGCAGGAATTTGGATGATCTGAGGGGTGAAGGTGCAGGAATTATGGTGATCTGAGGTGTGAAGGTGAAAAGTTCAATATTCATTTCTTACTAGTATTCAGTATTACAGCATTCCCTTCATAAAAAATTCTTTTCATAATTGAGAGTGTGAAGTTAACTTTTTTTTATATTACTGACACTCTCAATTTCTTTGAAAACATTTTTCGGCACACAATGCTCAAAAGGTTTCCTACCTCTACTCTAGTGGCTTCCAGAAGGCAGGTGGAACTCAAGGCAGACTCCAACAGCACCAGAGCATCATGGGCAGTCCTGACTAATCAATTGCAGCACTCTGTTAAGCAGAAGGCAAATCTGAATTTAACTAACAATCTGTCTGTTAAAGTATAACTATTGGCAAAACTTATTTTTTTCATTTTTGATAGAGTAAGGGAGGGTTATAACTCCTGTCAGATTTTTTTTACCATCTGTGTCCCATTTCAGAGATTTTCCTTCACTTCCTGTCCCAAAGCCAAACAGGAAATGGGAGGAAATCCCTGCAAATTAAGGGAATTCTTGGGGACCCCCAGGTAACCAGAACTATTGTCCCCATTGGAATACTTCCCTTCTATTACATTTCTGAAGACAACCCAAAATGTGGGATTTTCTTTACTTTCACTTTCAATGATAATCAGGACAAGTAGAGAGGGTGAATCGCCCTCACAGGGGCCACAGGCAGCAGTAAAAACTTACTGAGATTCTAACCCCTCTCCACTCCATCCAAAACTGAAAAAAAAAGTTTTCCTTTTAGTCACACTTTAGGCAGAGAAACACAGCTATACTATCCTAACTATACAAATCCTAGTATCTATTTAGGAGAGTGCTACACTTATATTCAGTGCAACAGAGTGAGAGAAGTGCCAAAAATTAAGTGCCCCTGTCAATTCTTGTGGGCTGGACTAAAAGCACTAACAATGTTATCTTCCTAGTGTAAACTACTAATCCCCCCTTGCAATGGAGATGAGGAGAGCAAGTCCAATCTTGGTGACGACCATGGCAACCTCAATGGATACAGAGCAATCAGTGAGCGTTGTTACGCCAAGACATGAATTTTGTTATTTGCAGGATTACCAGGAGAAAAAAACAAATGTAGTCACCTCATTAAGCCCTGGTTCACATATATGCAGCCGTGCGGGCCACGTTTCGTGTGGGCATGAGATCCCATTTATTTGAATGGACGCCCGTGACACGCAGAGAAGAAGACCATGCACTTCTTCTGAACACACAGCCTGCATGGGAACCTAGGTTCCCAGTACAGTTGTGTTTTCCAGTGCGGGTGGCGTGCCAGTAGAAATAATGGCATCCACCTGCGGGTCTGCATTTCTCTGTGTGGGGTTTGTGGCTGTGCGGATTTTCATGCAGATCCGCAGTGGCACCACCCGTACAGATGTGAACCTAGCCTTAAGGAGTGGAAATCTGCAAGATGACGTTTTTGGAATTAGATACGCTTTAACCACTTCAAGTGCGGACACTTTCACCCCCTTCCTGCCCAGGCCAATTTTCAGCTTTCAGCGCTATCACACTTTGAATGACAATTGTGCGGTCATGCAACACTGTACCCATATGAATTTTTTAGCATTTTTTTGAGACAGATAAAACTTTATTTTGGTGGTATTTATTCACCGCTGGGATTTTAATTTTTCTTTGCTATATAAATGAAAAAGTCTAAACATTTTGAAAAAAAAGTTTTTTTCTTATAAAATTTAGCAAATAAATAATCTTTCTTTATAAATCTTGGCCAAAATGTATACAGCTATCTTTTTAGTAAAAAAAAATAACCCAAATTAGTTTATACCCAAAAAATTATATATATTTTTTTTTATTTTTTTACATTTTTATTTTATTTTTTATATTATTATTTATGTTTTTTTTTTTTTACAAACTGTCACCCTAGCAGTACAGTCACCATAATGACACTGTACTACTTGTGGGGGTGATGATTTTTTTTTTTTTTTACACTGGTTGCTTTTACACCCATAAAGGCTGTAAAAGCAATCATTTCTCCTTCCTGCAGCCATTAAGAAATACTGTGCTAGCTGTGATTGCTCACAGCTTGTCACATGGTACAAGGCTGTTGTGAATAGCCCTGTACCATGTGACCTCTGTGATCATTCACAGACTTCACAAGTAGTAAGCAATGATGTTAGCAAGTGACATCTTGCTTACTACTATTCATGTGATCACTGATTGGCCAATCAGTGATCACATGATCGGGACCTCACACAGAGGTTGGATCGCGGTGCCAGGGAGTGCGCACAGGCAAGGAGTGCTGGAGGACATTTATAAATGGCCACCAGCTCCTGCACTTCTCCTGTCTGGCCGTTTATGTATATGGTCCAGACAGGAAGTGGTTAAAGTGTATGTAGATCCGAACAATGGATGTCTCTGTTTGCTTCTATTTGGACTGCTAAATACAGTATACCATTGAAAGTGTTTTCTTAAATCTTCGATAAGTATCACAAAAATACCTGAAAATCCTGCAATAAATCCAGTGTTGTCCTGTGCACTCTGCAGTATTATCTCAAGCAGCATCAGCAGGCCTGGCCAATTCACCCCTGTGGACTACAAAACCCCAGGTTTTGGAGAGGTGATTTGAAGACGTTGTTCTGTAGGCCTAGAATACTTCCTGTCCTAGGGTGACAACAGTAGATAGAGAATGGTGAGTGAGGATAGGTGGAGGTGGTAAAGAAAAATAAAAGTCTCATTAAAAAGAAAACTTCTGCACCAGCACCAGGGGCGGACTGACATCTCATGGGGCTCCCTGGCAATAGGGGATCAAAAAAGCCTATGAAAAAGGTACCAGGGGCATCTCATGGGGCCCCCTACTGACCCTGAGCCCTCGGGCCGAGCACGAGTTTCCAAATGGTCAGTCCGCCCCTGACCACCACACATAAGGACTGGTGAGCTTCATTATACAGTGTGATATCCCTGTCCTTGGGTTTTGATACATTTTATTATAAGCAAAATAATATAAATTGTGGTGAGCTGATGAACTGTTTTGCTATTTTTTCTTCAGGCAGGTCTCATTTCAAGCTGCCACACATTGCACAGTGATGTTAGTATAGCACAGGCTGATAATAGGAGACGCTGATTAGCCACCTTATCAGTGAGCTACTACATCTTTACTATCCTTTCACATCCTAAATCATCTTTGATCATGCTGTAAGGCTCCGTTCACACCTAGGCACTGTTGGTTATGTGTTAGAGAAGACAGTGGTAGCTTGTGATGAGGCAGAACAATGTTTTACTTGTGTGGCTTAAGTTGCAAGCATACAACACATTTCAGCAGACATCTTGGTTTTGAAGAGAGGAAGAGAAGAATAGGAAGAGAGAGAACCAACAAGTTTTATACATATGCACAACTAGTAACCTTAGTGTACAGTGCCATCTACTGGTCAAGTGATATTAACACACAATACTATATAGTACATGCTGTTGTATCTCCAAAAGGCACATGGGAGGATACGCCTGTGTTTTTTTCACCTTTTTGCACAATTTTGCAAATCTTGCTTAGGGTGGCCCATTCATTGTAATAAACTGCCCTACATGCAAAAATCGCACAAAAGAGATCCACAGCCCTTTTTAAATGTTTTTGCCACACCAAAATGCATGGTATCACATTCCATGCATTTTGGTATGCGCAAAAGCGCGTGCATTAGCAAGGTGTGTCATTAAGAATTAATCGTACCACCACGCGCATGCAAAAGGGTTACCGTTTTTGTACAATGTGGGAATGCGAACAATTTTGTGCGTATTCCCCCGATGCATGAATATGGACCAAACCAAATGCTTTAACTGATGTGGAGAAAAATGTGGCAGTGCTGTCAATCCATAAAGTAGCAGGCAGGACCAGCTGCTGATTGACAAGCTATAGGCATGTGAATTATAGTAAAAATACTTGTAGCCATACTTCCTGCAATATTTTTCATCCCACTGTAGTGCAAGCACACACAGCCTACATGACAAGTGACAACTCTGCTCTGAATTCAGGAGCAGTGCAGCATTGTTGCCATTCCATTACAGGAAGCTGTAGTTAGACTTCATTGGTAGGCTCCACAGGTATTTGTGAGGCTTTACAGGGAGTCTAAAAGCAAAATGTAAGCGCAGACGCATTTATAAGTAAGTGCTACAGGACATATTTTTAATAGGAGGTCATAGTTGTACTTTAATTGGTTCAAACATTAATGGATATGGAACATAGTAGCAACAAATCATCTGATTCAATCTGTACAGGAATTTGAGTGGTCGGTATGTTCAACACTCAGAAAAAAAGAAAGTTATTTATATGAAAGTTAAATATATATATATATATATATATATATATATATGAAAAAAACAGAAACTGCAAATGCACCCAGAGATGGGAGTTGCCTGGATCTCTTTGATAATCAGATGTCTTCATTACTTTCTGAATCACTGTCCTGGAACACGTGAAGTCAGAATTCTAATCAGCATACTTGTTCCAGGTCAGTATTGAAGCCATAGGATTAGCATGGCATCCAGGAATCTGCATTTCAAAAGGAATTCAGCAACAGCAGTATCTGTATTTCTCCCATGAAAGGTTGTGTGCTGGTGCTTGAATTCTTGATGAATCACTTCCACTGAAAGCCAGACCGGAAGACTCCACTCAGACTAAAGCTAACATTCACAGCATGTTCCTCTTCTTCATATAAGGGATATGTTATTACAAGAAATGAAACTCTACCCTGGACCTATAACTATTAAAAGCAGATATTTTATATTGCATAATTAAGATTTTAAAGCTGATTTTTTTAAAAACGCTTTTGTTAGTTGTGAATAAAGTAGAGAAGTGTTAAACCCCCTGTCATCTTTTTATTGCCTTTTTCTATCATCAGTTCTTATGACTCCATATTGGTCGTTCAAGCTAATAGACGGTCTTACTAATTACCAATAGAGTGATAGGGCAAAGGACTATACCGTTCTATAAGGACATGTGCTCACTGCTTACCAGGACTCCAAGGGGGAGATTGACCACAAATTTAGCCAATGTTCGCTCGTCTTTTCTCTATATATTTCATTGTCTATATATTCCTATAGGGAAATCGCTAGAGTAAGTAGGACACATGACTGCTGGTTTCTCAGGTGGATGCTTTCCTCGAATATATAAAAACAATTAAAGCACAAATGGGACAATATTGGTTTTGCTGAAGTGCCAATTACACACTGATACAGGTGTTTCTAGTCGGGCAATAGAAACACAGAAGATCCAATAAGGAAATGAACTTAGCCTCACATTACCAAATACGATTTTGGGCATATTCCCTATTTAAGCCATTGAAGTACAGTGAACTCATCTTCATGTTCAAGACACCAGTCTGAAATGATTTGAGCTTTGTGTCATGGTGCATTATCCTGATGGAAGTAGCCATCAGTAGATGGGTTCACTGTAGTCAAAAAGGGATGGACATGGTCAGCAACAATACTCAGGTAGGCCATGGTATTTAAATGATGCTCAATTGGTACTAAGGGGCCAATTGTGTACCAAGAACATATCCCCCACACCATTACACCACCACCACCAGCCTGAACCATTGATACAAGGCAGGATGGATCCATGCTTTCATGTTGTTTATGCCAAAATTCTGACCAGATCATCTGAATGTTGCAGCTGAAATCAAGACTCATCAGACCAGGCAATGTTTTTCCAATCTTCCATTGTCCAGTTTTGGTGAGTCTGAGTGAATTGTAGCTTCCGTTTCCTGTTAGCTGACAGAAGTGGCACACGGTGTGGTCCTCTGCTGCTGTTGCCCATCTGCTTCAAGATTTGACGTGTTGTGCATTCAGAGATGGTATTCTGCATACCTTGGTTCTAACAAGTGGCTATTTGAGTTACTGTTGCCTTTCTGTCATCTTGAACCAGTCTTCCCACTTTCTTCTGACCTCTGACATCAACAAGGCATTTTCATCCACACAACTGCCACTCACTGGATATTTTCTCTTTTTCGGACCATTCTCTGTAAACCCTAGAGATGTCTGTGCGTGGAAATCCCAGTAGATCAGCAGTTTAAGAAATACTCAGACCAGCCTGTCTGGAATCAACAACCATGCCACATTTAAAGTCATTTAAATTCCCTTTCTTTCCCATTCTGATGCTCGGTTTGAACTTCAGCAAGTCGTCTTCACCACGTCTAGATGTCTAAATGCATTGAGTTGCAGCCATGTTATTGGCTAATTAGCAATTTTTGTTACCAAGCAATTGAACAGGTGTACCTAATAAAGCGGCTGGTGAGTGTACAGTGGATATAAAAAGTCTACACACACTTGTTAAAATGTAAGGTTTCTGTGATGTAAAAAAATTAGACAAAGATAAATCATTTCAGAACTTTTTCCACCTTTATGTGACCTATCAACTGTACAACTCAATTGAAAAAAAAAACTGAAATCTTTTAGGGGGGGGAAGTAAACATAAAAAACTAAAATAATGTGGTTTCATAAGTGTGCACACCCTCTTATAACTGGGGATGTATCCAGGGGCGTATTTACCACAAGGAAAACAAGGCATTTGCCTAGGGCGGCATTTTGCAGGGGGGCAGCAGCATTTTGCAGGGGGGCAGTGCCACCCCCCAAAAGAAGGGATGGAAGAAGGGACACAGGTGGCAGCATGGAGACCAGGTGGGATCTAAGAGAGGCTGTTGGCTGCTTGCTGGTGTATGCAGAGCCTGATTCTTGTTCCCAGGGATGTCTGGAGCTGTGAAAGTGACGGTCTTCTCTCTCACCGGGGTGGGGAGGTTGTCAGTGCATGGGGGCAGTGGTAGTGGAAGGCTCTCTTGGGTGGGGTTGGGGGGCTGGGGTGTTGTTGGTCAATGTCAGCCTCTCTCCGTGCGGGAAGGGGTTGTTGGTCAGTGTCAAGGTATCTCTGGGGGAAGGGGGGCGATTTTTTGTGTTGCCTAGGGCAGCACAAAATCTAAATACACCACTGGATGTAGCTGTGTTCAGAATTAAGCAATCACATTCAAAAATCATGTTAAATAGGAGTCAGTACACACCTGCCATCATTTAAAGTGCCTCTGATTAACCCCAAATAAAGTTCAGCTGTTCTAATAGGTCTTTCCTGTAATTTTCTTTGTTGCATCCTACAGCAAAAGCCATGGTCTGCAGAGAGCTTCCAAAGCATCAGAGGGATCTCAGTGTTAAAAGGTATCAGTCAGGAGAAGGGTACAAAAGAATTTCCAAGGCATTAGATATACCATGTAGAAAAATAATTGCCCAAGAGATGGGCCAAAAAAAGTAGTTATTTATGGTGGCAGATATCAAGTGAGCTGGAACTACTAAAGAATAAATCCTTAATACCAAATACTTTAAAACATCGGGTTTATTGATATTATTACTTTGTTTGAAAAT